CTCTTGCTGGTCCTTATTGTTTTCTAAGGTGGCCTTTAAATGACATCTACGGGTGCACAGGGTCTGTTCTAGAAGAGTCTTGGAGCATCCTGTACGCCAAGAATGGAGTTAGTGATACTTTTACTGGCTCTAAATATAAGCTCATGGTGTCCAGAGAAAATCAAACTTCTTTTTATTTAGTGTTTTGTGTCATGGAGAAATGCATCGGGCCCAAACAAGCCTGCTCCTTTACGAGAGAATCCGTTTAAATAGACAGTATACTTTACTTTGAGGCCGAGCTTCCAAATCCAAAGTGTTGCAGTCTGGAAAAATCTCATGCTTCCCTTCAAACATAAGCAACAAACCAGCTGATGGAAGTCAGGGCCCTGCCAGGAAACCTGTTCTAGCGAGGATCGGGAACTGTGCATGCGGCAGAAACCATCCAAGGCTTTGGCATTTCGGTGCCATGTCCAGGCTCACAACAGTGAGCAACTTCTCATCCTCAGTTAAGCAATCTCTGTTGGCTGTATCGCTGCTAGCTGCGGATGTTGTCGAAGCTGGTAGGCTATCTCTGCGGTGCATTAGCTAAGAACAAGAAACGCTTTGTGGTGAGCGCCCATGAGACTTTCTCTTCGCGAAGAAGCGGCAGAGTGATACATCTTGGAGTCACCGTTCCTTTCCCTTGGAAACTGTCTTCCTTGTGGGTCTTTGACGTAAACATGTTAGTCAGCAGGCCACACCAGTTCTAACGTGAGCTGAAGTAAAGCAAATCAGACCGCCCCCACCTCCGTTCACTGAGATGATGGAGTCGAAAGCCAGGCTATGGCTTGGCTTCCCTTTCCCTGTCTATTTAGTTCTCAGCAAAGCCTTTGTATACACTGAGGTGTCTCCTGCCTGTCCTCTGTTGTCTTCCAGCCAATGTTATGCCAAACTTCTGTGCCTGAGCTATAAACGCGTATCTACGACCTTTCTCTCCTACCTCATACCTTCTTCCACAGTAGAAGGAAACGAGTCAAGGCTTCTCTCCTGACCACCATGAACAGGGCGAGCAGCCGATCACAGTCTTCCTAGAGACTAACAATGTGGCCAACTATTAAATCCCATACACAAAATAAGAATGGCACCCAAAAAAACACATCCTGATAGATTAAACTGTAATGTTCCTCACATTTTGGTTTTTCTTTGCTTTTGCTAAACATACTAAAGAAATACCAGGAGAATAGGAGCAAAACATTTCCAACGACTGACTGCCCTTGGAGCTGAGTTGAACGACCTGAGTCCTGGCCCGGGTCCAGCAGACTCTGGCTCACTGGGTCATATGTCTAGTCTGCAAAGCGTAGTGTGCAGGCCATCGCTGCAGCCTCGGCCGGCCATGTTTACTAGATGGTGCCTCTGCAAATATCGGGTGTTAGCATTGGGGTTCAGGGCTAACACAAGTCATAATCGTCCACCCAGAAGCCTGCTGTAGACCTTAGGCTTTTACGAATATTTCCGCTGTCTTTGAGAGCTAAGCTTAGACTCTCCATTTTTAATGTTCGTCAGTTTCACAAATAATAAATCAAGATACGGGCCAGGCAGTGGTGGCACACACCCTTAATCCCAGCACCCGGGAGGCAGAGGCAGGCGGATCTCTGTGAGTTCCAGGACAGCCAGGGCTACACAGAGAAACCCTGTCTTGGAAAAAAAAAAAACAGTAATAAGAACAAAAACAAGCTATGGAGTCCCCCCTCCCTCCTGCTCAAGATCCTTTGGGATCTTTGGATCTATGAATTGTTGCCTTCAAAAAGTTTTGAAACATTCTCATCCACTCTATTTTCAATATTACCCCTTTGGATGCACGTTAGACGGTCTCATCTACCCTCCAAATTTCCTGCGCTCTCTTTCACATTCCCCATCTGATGTGCCTCTGGATTGCATTTGAGCAAATGCTTTCGTCTGTAACCTAGGTCATGGACTTGCTTCGCCTGTGTGGGATCTGCTTCCAAACTGACAGTGTTAGCTTCGGGGTCGCTTTTATGTCAAGGCTCCAGGTTCCTACTTTCTGTTTCTTTGAGAATACTTGATAGACAGATTAAAACCAGTTATTTTTGCATGACTTTCCAGACTGTTCCAATGAACGAGGCGTTTGTGGTTGTTCTCAGCTTCTTTTCTCTGCGGGCTCTCACCGTCATCAAAACTCTTACTTTGTAAATCTGGACTATGGAATACCCACTTGCCCCGAAACTCCTATGGACGAGCCGGTGGGTTTGCGTCTGGCTAATGTCTTTAGCTCTGCATTTGCTGTTCCCATTTGTTTTAGGACACTGCTATACTAAAACCGCTTTGTATTTAATTCTTTAATTTAGTATTTTGGAAGCGCAGAGGCAGCATGATGTCAGAATACACACTCCTGTGGGGCCTGATTCATCAGGAGAAGACAAATTCTCAAAGGGATGTGGTTGAGACAGGCTTCCTAGCTGTCTCCTTTTTGTTCCGGCTTTACCTATTTCAGTCTTTGAGAACTCTTGTTCTAGGCCCGGACTTCCTGTTAGAAGCTCCATCTTAGGCATGTCCTGGGCCTTATCTCCCAACCCTGGCACTCTGAGTCACTGTCTAGTTTTTCTCTGCGACATAAAAGATGAGTTTAGAAGACACCGAGTTTGTCTGCTCGCCATTGTTCTGGACATGACAGCCCAGACTGGCCTCAAATTTGTGATCCTCTGGCTCCCTCTCCCAGAGTTCTGAGATTGCTGTTGTGCACCACCACGGCCTTTGACTTTCTTTGATTCTTCTTCGTCTTTACGTTATGTGTGTGAATGTTTTAGTTGCATGTATGTATATGTACCACATATATATCTGGTGCCTTTGGAGAACAGAAGAGTGTTAGGTCCCCAGGAACTGGCGTTACTGACAGTTGTGTATCCACATGCGGGTACCGGGAACTGACCCAGAGCCTCCGCAAAGGCAGTGTGTGCCCTTCACCACCAGGTCATTTCCCATTTTAGTTTCAGCACTCTCATCATCAGGAAGGTTTCCATGGTAACTAATTCATTATTGTGCTGGAAACAAATTTTTGCCTAATTGAATTTATATTGACCAAACATGAATTTAAACTTAGAAACCATGTACTTATTAGTAAATCAATGATCTTGCTATTTGTTTATCCACTAGAATTCTATGAAATGTTACTTTTTCCAGAAAAAGTTTTCTGCCTTGAAATACCTTGGAGAGTTCCCTCTTCTAACCACAGCGCATAGATTTCTCTTCATAGACTGTTAAATCTGCTCTCTATGGAGACTAGACCCCATGATCCCCTGCGTCTTGAATATGACCCTCACTCGTGGGGTCAAATGATCCAGATGACACTGATCTAACGCCACCTTTCCAAACTTCCAGTTTTTGTTTTCTTAGCAGCAAAACCCTTTGCTACCGAGAAAAGCGTAAACCCCGAATGGAAGAGGAAGTTTGCTGAGATGTGCAGGTGGTGAGGGAGATCTGGAATGTAACAGGGTTGGGTCACTCCACCCATTTCCTTAATGTGTTTTGCTTGGGCTTTTAACCATTGCACCTTGGGTAAATGACTTACAGGTCTGTGCTTCGTTTTCTTCATTCCCGGTGAGATTGCTGTGATGACCAAGTTAACTATGTTAAGCACTCAGCAAAGTGCTTGTCACTCAGTACTTATTCGAGTGTTGATTATATATATTATATAGTAAACCGTGTAAAGCACACTTGTCACACGGTGCTTATTCAAGTGTTAATTATATTTCTATTATGTAGATTTTAAAATGTGTTTCTGGTTGGGCGTGGAGAAAGAGAGAAAATGAATGATACAAACACACAAAAATAGTATTCATTACATCTTTCATATTCATTTTGAATTTTTATAAAAGTCATTTTATGTATTTACTTGTTAAGTTTTATTTAAAACCTATTCTAAATATAGAAGAAAAACTGGCTTTGTCCTTCAGACTTAAACAAAAGCCAAAGATCTTTTTGTTACACACACACACACACACACCCTTCGTGCCATTACACACAACTTTCTTCCAGGACAGACAGCTTTCTGAGCACATAAAAACAAAAGAAAGCAAACACCACTGTGGAATCGCCTGCCTCCTCCTGTGTGCAGGAGCTAATAGTGGATGGAAGAGGACCGGGATGGCATCTTTAGGGGGAGAGAGGGGCAGGGGCAGGTGTGAAAGGGGATTCTGGGAGACAGGAAGCAAGCCACACATCATGAAATGCACTCG